AGCTGAACGAAAAGACGACTAATGATATTATTTATTGCGGCCTTCCCGCAATCACGTCGCCTCTGGCAGTGCAAGGAGCTAGCGATACCTGAGAGAAAAATTTAATTCTTTTTATTATTGACCACTTTTATGTTGCAGGTCACAACAACATCGGTTTCTTTTACCTAGATCTCCATTTTTCCATCCCACTCGGCTAGTCCTTGTTGCTGCAAAAACATCCTTTGATTTCAGCGTTAACTCCTAGTTTTCGAAGACAGCTCAGTAAGCTGCTGTATGAAAAAAAAAGTTAACTCAAATATTGCACTTGATCTTCTTAACAGTCTATGCAAACCTTAAGGTCATGAGTTTAACGCCTATCTGCGCTCACAATGTGTTCAGCCCCAGGACTGAAGTCAGACATAAGATCGTGTACTGCCCCTGCCCCTATTCTGCGAACAGGCTGTTGAAGCTTCCCTGCAGGGACGCTGCCTCGTGGGTTTTCCTACCCACGACACCAGCGGACCACAGATCGTTGTGTCACACCCATTTGAATCATCAGCCCCTGCGTTGTGTGTCGTGTCCGTCTTCTTCCGCGGTCTATTTGTGCACCACGTGGGTTTGCTTCCCCTCGAACATAATTTTGTGCCGGCATGTTTATCCTTGCTAGACTGCCCTACGTGAAGCGTTGAGTGATGCTTTTTCTTTAAAATGATGACAATTTCATGACAACTTGATGACATTTTTATCAGGGCTCTCAATTGCTTGGCCAACAATGTCATCAACTGGTTTGATGACATTGTTGCCAGGAAAATAAGTGTTGCAATTGTGAACAAGTCACCAAAAAAAAACAATAATTAGGCAACCCGCTCGACGGCCGCTCCTGACAGATGATGAAAATTGATCCATGAAGCGGCGGAAGGGAATAACTAACTTATCTCCAAATTGAGTTTTTTCTTTATTTTTGTTCTTTAGAAAGGTTGGCATGACCACACCAGATTATTTGACTCAATTCCAAGTACTTTAAGAGAAGCAACATGGAAAAGAATGTATCTTGACTTGGCTCCTTTCACGGTCTCAACTGAGCGGAAAATAGAGTGAACTCACCCAACATCACATGAGTCGCTTGTAAAAAGGAGCTAACTCAAGTTATGTCTTTGTGCTTGCATAGGACAAAGGAGTCATCTCAACTTGTAATCAAATTATCCTATTGCATGTGGAGACAAGTGCAATTCAGTCTGCAAAAAGAGATAAGTCCATTTATACCCTGTCAAGCCAAAAAGCTTGATATTTGTTAAACTCACAGGAAAATGGATTACACAGCGTATACTGACGACCTCACTTCGTAGGCGAAATCAGCTGGCTTAAGTCCCACAGTGCAATCCGAACACAGGTTAGGCCTACACTTCAAGATGAGTCATGATATAATCCATTTTCCTGAGTTTCGTCAAATGTGAAGCTTTTTGGACTAATCTTGAAGTCGCTTTTGCGGTCACTCACCTTGCCGTCCACGAAGAGAAGAGGGGTACTATGTTTTGTGAAATTCACGACAGTTGCTTGCAGTAAAAATAATCTTGCGGCAGTTCCCTCCGCAGTCCAAGTCCACACGAGAACACTGTTAAAATACTGTTGTGGTTTAGATGTAAATATGTTGCTAATTTTTTACTGACTGCCAAGTTTTTGACAGGTTGCCTATGTTATTTGTAAAGAATTGAAGGTTGTTACAAAACAGCATAAGCCAGAAAAAAAATTAGCAACAAGGTCATTGTTTTTAAACCAGAAAACGTCTAATAACATCAGTGCTGTTTTGACTGATCATTGTGTGACAACCTTTTAAGCTGATAATGTAGTGGGTTGTGTTCAACATTTTAACCATTTCGTAGCAGAAAGTCCAGCCGCAAGCCATCAAGACACCTTGCGTCAAATCGATCAATTCAACACAAGATGGTTGCAGCTGGCTCCTGGACGGACATTGCAGAACGGTGACAATTAAGTGAAGTGCTCCAACATTGCTTCCATCGTTTCTTGATTAAGGGGGCTCGAGAACTTACCGACTGAATCTTAGTGCACCCGCGGCCTAGAATCGTCCGTCCAGGTGGTTTACCGCCATCCTTTGACGTGGTTGGTAGTGACTGGCGCGTGCGCTTCAAAAGCGGGAATGAACACAAGTCAGAACAAGCGTCGGAACAAAGTGCCAGTGCCATCGGCAAGTGCATCGAAGCCCAACGTCGCAGAGGTCTGGAACCAAGATGGAGCCAAAACTTTGAACTGTGGCACACTCCAGTGTTCTTCGAGATTTTCGGGACGCATTTCACCGTTGACAACGATTCCAGTGCAACTTGTAGTAACATCATGCTCGGGCCATTGGGCCCGATGACGTCGTTTTCATCCCCACAGCCTCCTCCCCGGTGTGGACCAATGCGAGCGAAGTCATTATCTGAAGAAACTTAGTAAGTTCCGGTTGTATACAGAGTTTTGAGGTAATTAGGTGACACTACGCAAGGCACGCGAATTTCTCGACGTTTGATCATTTGCGACAGCTTGGAGAAAAGACGTAACATCATCACCGAACACCAACTTGTGGAGGGTTATAATTTAAGTCGGACTTCTCTCCGATGCCATATGATCAGACTTGATGAATCCGTCTGCCTCTCTGAGATCGGGCACGTTTTCCTGAGAATGATCAGTTTACATCTTTCAGATAACAGCGAGATAAGATCTTGTGAATAGGAGCCACATTAAAATATGTGAATGGCTGGTTGTCCCATCTGTTGTTGGCTAAATGAGCAGTAAGAAGCTTACAAAAGTGTCATTTTTTTTCTCAGTCGTCTGGTGTAATGTGTATGATCAACCCGTTTTTCATCGCTGAAATTGGTGGAATGCTTTTGTATCGCACGTGAAGTGCGATCCCTGTGCACGTGCATAGGAGCAGTTGCCAAAATTAGGAGCAATTTAGAAGACCAAAACATTGCAACAAAAAATTGCGCTGCGTATCCAATCTTAGATTAGCCAAATGGTCTACGCCCGAAGCGTGGATCTGGTCCACACTTATATTGGCAGTGTGGATCCATTTTGTTTTCTGGCCAATGTACTCTGCAAACTGGAGTGTGTACATAGTACACTCTTATTAGAGCATGCTTCAAAGTGCACTCTTATTTACAGCATACTTGCTAGGCACACGCTAGAAAAGAGTGTGCCTGGCAAGTACACGCCAAATAAGTGTGTACCTTCCATGTACACGCTAAAATACACTCGATAAGTCCTATCTAAAAGCATGGGCCAGTTTAAGTGTATTTGCCAGGTACACTCTTATTTAGCGTGTACATGCAATGTACACTCTATTTTAGTGTGTGCCTAGCAAGTATGCTGTAAATAAGTGTGTACTTGGAGGCATGCTCTAATAAGAGTGTACTATGTACACACTTCAGTTTGCAGAGTATTCAGTGGTGACCCACGACTTATTTCTGAACGCAGACGAGCTCCCGGTGCTCAAAAGATATTCTTTGTTTGGCAGTTTTGGGGATTGCATCGCAGGTAATGGGCGATGTCCCCATGCATTTCACCACCTGCTTTTTTCACTGAAAATCAAAAAGTGATGCATCTCAGTCTCTAAGGGATGAGACAACTGTCTCGGCGAAAAAGGGTGATACCAAATCGCTAATATGAAAATCACCGAAAAATATCGTACACGAATGTATCACCGAAAAAGGGTGATACTTCTCCAGGAGAAACGAAGGCCAATCGCGCTAATGTCTGACCTTTTTTCGGCAGTATATTTTTGCACGACCTTTTTTTTTATCGATGATACATTCGTGTAAGATCTTTGTTTTCGGTGATACTTTTAGTATTACCTAATAACAGGAAAAGTAGCGATATACATCGGCAACTTTGGCCCGTCCCGTACATTAAGAAACGTACGAATTTCGCCTATGTTTGACCCTGACGGGAATTAAATCTGAGTCTGGGGTTAAAATTAATGTCGTTTTCGTCATCAGCACCCTCGAAAACATCAAAAACAATGCAAAAACTCGAATAAAAAGAATGTTCAAAAAATACTCCGCTGGGATTTGAACCCGGGTCCGAAGTTCTCCGATTCGCTCGAAACTGGCACCATTGGTTTTCTCTCGTCGCCCCGATTCCCAAAATACCCCTACATGCCCTCCTAGCTGCATCCGTTGCCGAGATCCTCCTCGACCCCATGTAGACCATGATGCACCTGCAGCAGCGCCCCCGGGGCTCGGATCGGATTTGCTGCCACCGGGCGGTTCTAAGGGTCACCCAAGGAGGCTGCATACCAAATTTGGTCAAGATCGGACCACGGGAAGTCCTCGGACGGACGGACGGACGAACGAACGGACGCACAGCAGGGATCATACTATATCGAGGGGTCCTATTCAAAAGATCTTATCTGCGCGTTCCCCCCAAGACAATCTTATCTTAAACGCAGGCAAATTTCACTCAGTTTGATCATTTGATCCAGCTACAAATCAATGTAATTTGTGATTAAATTCACTGACATGTAAAGGTGAAAGATCAAAGAAACCAATAGTGCATGCAGAAATATATCCCGCTTACTCTCGTACCCATCCCAAATGGTCAAACTGATTGAAATTCGCCTGCGTTTAAGATAAGATTGTCTTGGGGGGAACGCGCAGATAAGATCTTTTGAATAGGACCCCTCGATATGCCCGTCCCTCCGTCATTTTTTTTACAAAAAATAAACGGGACGGGCCAAAAATTGGAGATATGCCTCACCCTTTGGATTCCAGTGTTAATAATGCATTTTATCACGGCAGCCGCCGTGCTCGTCGGGAATGAGTTTGCGTAAATTGGCCCCATTCTGCCACTTAAAAGTTGAAAAAATTAGGGAACAATATGCTGCCATCACATGGCTGTGCGCTAACCGCACTGTTAAATTCTTTCTTTCCATCAAAGGGCCATGACGCTCCAGGCACTAACTCAGTTCTCGTGCGTTAATATTATGTTATTTAAACTAAAAGACAAGCAGCGTAGACCTAAACCCGGAGTAGATCTGCGGTCTTGCCATGGGCCATGCAATACAAGCTTCGACGGTGGACCTGGAGGACTGTCCTCTTACTCGTCTGCTCCTTGACTGGCAAAGGTTTCTGCAGAGGAAGTCCTCTTCTGCCGTTCTTCGTTTCATAGTTCATCTACCGTCCACCAAGGTAAGAGGAGCGCGTGCCGCACAGCGGACCAAGAAGACCGGTGGAGGCAGTCAAAAAACCAAGACGCATATTGAGCTCCAGAGTAGCGGGGCACTAGGGTAAAACTAAAGCGTAGTATACACTGTTAAAAAAAAATTCTGAAAATTCAGACTAAATGAACTGAAGAAAATTTCGCAAAAGGCACTCCTAATTTTCAGACCAACTTTTTCAGAAACATGCGGTCTGAAAATTCAGACCTGTGAATTCAGACCACAAGTCTGAATATGTATTAAGACCTCAAGTCTGAATTGATATTAAGACCGCTGGACTCTGAAATTTAGGAATTCGGTGAGCTTAAAATTGAGATGTCTTATTTCTTAAAAAAGGGCTTCCTGGTCTGAATTTGCTTTCAGCAGTTCACTCCCATACCCCTCGCCTCCCTCTTTGTGCGCAGTGCGGGGAAGGTAATATATGAAAGTTGATCCAACAAATGCTTTAAGAAGGATGAAAATTGCTGAGGCTAGTAAAAGTCAATTTTGTAACCTTAAGGAACTGTCAAGTTAAACTTGCATGTCCTAGAAATATATGTCACAGGAAGTTCATTTTGAGGTCAAAACTCCACCACTATTAGATAAATTTATTCGCAAAGTTGGGGACTCCAACTCTAATTAGTTTCTGAGTTATGGAGGTTTACGTAAACTTTTAGTCGTTTCCTCCAAATTCTTCTCACGACAAAGGATTAGCTACCCAGTCTTCAGATTCTGGCAATTATATCTATTTTTGCATATGAAGAAGAAAGAGTTGTCAAATTTGAAAAAAAAAGTCCAGAAGAGGCTGTAAAAGCTAACTTATCAGGCCCATTTTTATTTTTCTTCAAATTTAAAAGATTTTGCCTTATTATTGATTTATGGTTTTTCAGGAAAACTAAGTGAGATATTTTTAAAAAAAGCAACACTATCTATTTCCTTTGCAAAAATAGATGTAATTACAAGAATATGAAGACTGGGTAGCTAATCCTTTGTCGTGAGGAGAATTTGAGAGAAACGACTAAAAGTTAACGTAGACATCCATAACTCAGAAACTAAAATAAGGTGGTGTACAACTCTTAGTGCATGAGTTAATGCAATGGAAAGGAACTTTTATCCAGGTTATGAGACAAGTATTTTTTTTTAAGTTATAAAGTCACTTTGGTTACTTTAGTCATTATAACCATAAATTTCTTTGCTTATCATTGCAAAATCAACTCAAACCTTGGTTGTAACAATTAACTCACTGTGGCAAGCACACGATCCAACACGCACCGGTGCACACGAAGTGAACGTATCAGATTCGTCCAACCAGAAGTTTGAACTAATATCCGATGAAGGCACTTTGGGGACGAGTGTGAACGGGGAGAGGCGAATAACTTAGAACACCTCTCGCCCTCTCACCGCCCGCCCCTTCAGTTTCGGGAGGTGCGTACAGCGAGCGCAGAGTCACTACAGCGTCAAGAAGGGTCATCAGCAGAAAACACTTCGAACTAAAATGCACTTCTTTCCGTCGACATGACTTCAGCGCGCCGAGCGAGTGGACCTGACGCAAAATACACGCGATGTGTGCACCTTGGAAGACTGCTGGAGACTGATGTTTTGCGTGCAGGGCACCGGGTCGGCCTAAACTTTCCGAGTTGCCGACGGATTAACGCTCCCCTCCTTGCCGAGCCAATCAGAGGGCGCCTCCAGCCGGCCCTGCCTCGCCGGACTTTCCGAGAATGCACCGGCGGAGACAGTCCTGTGACCGCTGCACTGGGCTCGGCTCGGTGCTCGGCGCTGCTCGGTGCCGAACGAACTCAGCCGAACAAGTCCGAGACAAACTAGATCGCTTTCGGGCCTACTACCTTAGCTGGTCAAGGTGCTGCCAGAGCGCTATAAAGAGGGCTACTCTGGGGCTCAAGGTGCTACCTTCGGGGCAGTCCGATTAAGGCAGCGTGTGTAGAGAGAGGGGGCGGGAGTCAGATGAGTCGGGCAGAAAATTAAGACCGGGGGCTGAATTCTACTTTCAGACTCGCGGGGCAAATTATTAATCCTTGTCAAGTCTGAATTTTTTAGACCGCCACGTCTGAAATTTTTTTCAGACTACAAGGTCCGTATTTTTAGACCTGCGGTCCAAATATTAGGACTCTAGTCTGAAAACGAAATTCAGACGGACAAGTCTGACACTTTCGGTCTGAATTTTCAGAATTTTTTTAACAGTGTAACCCAACCCTCTGTTTTCAAGCGTAATCAGTTTACGCCTGAAATCAAGCGTAATCAGTTTACGCCTGAAATCAAGCGTAATAGGCTCATCGGCTCATCCGCCAAAATCTCCCATATCAAAATGCATGGGGGAATTTCCAGAGTATGCTTCATTTCAAGCGTAACGTCTAACCGAGCCTACCCTCCGACCCCACACTGCTAACCCAAGTGTGGACCAAGTCCACGCTAAATAGCGTGGACCACGGTGGTCCACGCTAGGAAGCGCTGACCACGGATGGTCCACACTTGGAAGTGTGATTGGCCTATGAGAAGTTCAACGCTGTGAAGCGTGGACCACAGCTCGGTCCACGTTTTCTAGCGTGGACCACGGCTTGGTCCACGCTTCATAGCGTGGACCATTCGTGGTCCACGTTTCCTAGCGTGCACCCAAAATCGAAAGGCGGTACGCATGGTCTTACAAGGGCGGTATTCGTTTTACCGCCTTCCAAGTGTGGTACAAAAATAACCGTTCATTGAAGGTGGTAAAATTACCACCTTTCACCGCTGTACCGCCTTAAATTTCCCTCCAATCGGAATATTCAAGGCGATACAACTGTGGAAGGTGGTAATTTAGCGCCTTCAATGGGCGGTAATTTTTGTACCACACTTCACTGATACTTTGACAGAGTGACGAAAGTCCAAAATTTTGATAAAATGAGATTTTTGGCTGCGTCCTAGAACTTTTGATTTCCTATCGACTGGTGAAAAGCATATGTTGATATCTCTAATAGATTCGGCGTAGAAAAATACTTCAAAATGACGTAAGTCCAACTGTACTTTGACAAAATGACGAAAGTCCAGCCGTACTTTGACAAAATGACGGAAGTCCACCTGTACTTTGACAAAATGACGAAAGTCCAGCCGTACTTAGACAAAACGACGAAAGTCCAACCGTACTTTGACGATATGACGAAAGTCCCAACTGCAAAAACCGGTCATAGTTTACTATTGCTTTCCAATTAAGATGAATACTCATGAGTTCAGTGACGACATGAACGTAAAACATGCCAGAGTTGAAAAGTTTTATTTATTTTGTGTTAGCAGTAAAGGTGGACTTTCGCCATTTTGTCAAATTACGTTTGGACTTTCGTCGTTTTGTCAAAGTACGGTTGGACTTTCGTCGTTTTGTCAAAGTGCGGCTGGACTTTCGTCGTTTTGACCTCATTTTCGTACGCTGAGAAATGGCGAATGTCCACTATCTCGGGAACTAAGCTGCCCATTGCAGTGGCTCTTGAACCTAAAGAACACTCATGCCTTCAGGATGCTATGGTGTTAAACTCAACCATCAAATCCCAAACCTCTATTTTGCATCTCAATTTTTAGACTTGTTTTGACTCTCCTGAAAAATAAGAGATCGTGGACTTTCGTCACTTTGTCAAAGTACCAGTGACTTGGAAAGGCGGTAAAACGAACACCGCCCTCGATTGTGGTAATTTTACCATCTTTGGGTTTTGTGTGTGGACCACCGTGCTCCACGCTATTTAGCGTGGACTTGGTCCACACTTGGATTAGCAGTGCATTAATGGATTCCTCGTTCGAAGAGCACCATTGGTGGGTTGTTCGAGCTCCATTAGGCACCTCTGGGGATCAGAACGTGTCCGGGATTTGGACCGCCTTCACCAGTCTTCTGCCCATTGTGGTACGGTGGTCTGTCAAAACGAGTCTACATGTCAGTCGCTCGGCTTCGCTAGCACCCTCACTTCCAAGTGCACTATCTCTGGATGCCGCTTCAACTCTGAGGATAATGAATTGTATGCAATACTCTGCTCCCCTTGGGAAGCATGAAAAACCCTTGCCCACAAAATGGCATTAAGGGACAAACAACTTCGAAAAATTTTGTTCTTCGTTATTTCAAATTCAAGTTATTTTAACGTTGCTTCAAGGATATTTCAACACCATTTCGCGTTATTCACATTATTTCGACCATATTTGACGATATTTCAAGGAAAACGTACACCAAATTCAAGTTGTTTCCCCCTCGGCATTAACTTCAGGCATACGAAACCTACGTTGCTTTTACCACAAATCGAATGATAATATTCATTTACGACGAAAGAGGTTGGATGAAGGGCGTTGAAGGTGCGTGCCTCTCAAGGAGATACAAGCCTGTATTGTGAGTGTTATCGGTGTTGGAAAACCAGCGCTCCCGAACGTAATCTGGCACGCAGAGAACCGTCATCGAAAGTTCCACGCTTTTCTACTACGATATTGCGCTTGCGAAGTCTGCAGAGGTCTCATGTATTCATTTTCAGGTGTTCATTTTGTTGCATATATTGTCGAGTTCGCACTAAACCAATAAGAACTCTTGCTTTGCAAAGCGTCTCGAACTTTACTGCCCACTTGCCAGATGCGCTGCAGCGGAAAACTCCCTGGATGCTGGTTTGACAGAGCACACTCTCAGCCTCTCACTAGATAGTGATATCGATATCGTCAGTAACCATGGTGCTATTGCCTACAACAATAATATGTAGTGATTTCTTCATAGATGTGTACAATTTACTGCATAAAATTATATAGGAATTTTTTTGTCAAGAAGTACTAACAAATATGTAAATTAATAACTTAATGAGCAAAAAGTACAGACTATCGTTGCTTAAATTCCTCGAGGTGCCACTAACAAAATGTTAGTACCATGTCTTTAAAGTCAATATCGAGTCTGAGAGTGCAGGCTACATAGCAACTTAAAATTTGCTTCTCAATAACGTAGACTAGCTTCCTACCTCCAGTTCTTCTCCATCCCGTGAAGTAAGGACAAAGGAGGGGATCGCTGTGCATTACTTTACAATTACTCGGTAGCGATCGAATTGTTCTCTGCAGCTGCGAGTCCCGAGAGCAAAAGGCTTCACCATAAGGGGAGCATCAAGAGGATGTTACTTGGTGTTATGGTGCTCGATTCAGGTGAGGTGTGGGTGAAAAAGTGACGCAAAATTCGCAACGAATGAAAATTTAGTTCGTAATCCAAAGGTAAAGCTTCAATCTTCCTCCTTTTTAGGGGATTCAGTTCTCAGTTCTCAGAATGTGCCGAACCGTCTCGAAATGGTAGCCGGTTTTGTGAACCATGCATTATACATTTCCTGAGTAGTGAGATAACTTTGACCCCCTTTCTCACAACCAAGTTCTTCATTTAAGGGGAGGTTCTACTGAAAATCTTACTTTCTTCAAATTGAGTCCCATTATCAATATTCATTGTAAATTTAAAGTATTACATAGTAAATAGTAAAATTTGAAGTTTGGAGAGCAATACCTAGCCCCCAACCCAGTCGAAGAGGAATTTTTTGCTATTTCCAGTCGTAACTTGAAAAATTCTCCTACGCAAAGTATTTCAACGTAAACTGATGTTCTGGGCATTTTTCACTTCTTTGGTTCATAATTGATAAACCGTGGCATTAGTAAGATACTGGGACCATTACAAAACCATAAGCTGTGTTTTTAAGACAGCATGTCAATAAAACTTCAAGAAAATGATAAAATTTCTGATATTTTAGTGACTTTTTTTCTGAAAAGCAACGACAAAATAAATTTGTTGGGTCCCATGTCTTGGTGATGCCACGCTTTATTGCATATGAGCCAAAGAAGTGAAAAATGTCCAGAACATCAGTTTACGTTGAAATGCTTTGCGTAGGAGAATTTTTTAAGATATTGCTACAATAGGCTGAAAAAACCTCTTCGACTGGATTTGGAGGGGGGTATTGGGCTCTAAATTTCATGTTTGACCATTAACTATGTATTACTATACATCTGCAACAAATTTTTACACTGGGTCTCAATTTGAAAAATGCAATATTTTCAGTAGAACCTCCCCTTAAAATTCTGCCGCGCAACAGGTTAGCAGCAATCATTTTGCAACTTTTCTGCAACTATTTCTGTTGAGTCTTTCAAACAATGACCGGTCGGATACATAGGAGTGCCAACTTGCGCCAAAGCTTAATTTAAGGCCCAACAATATGGAATACTTTCAATCGGCTTGCGCAAATATTTACGGTACGCACATGCTTTTCCCCACACCTCACCCCAGTGCAAGGCGTCGGGTGCAAGCCTTTCTAAACCGTGGTTGAGGAATGCACTTTTTAAACATATGAAGAGAGCTCTTAACAATTGCTTATCTAAGTCAAAGTTCAGTTCCGTGAAGTGCCGAATAGCAGTGCCTATCGCTGAGCGCGTAACTCTGAGTGGTGGAGATTGCAAAGATATGATTCATGGCTCATCCCGGCCCGGACGAGTTACAGCAGTGTGGGCGCGATCGTCGGACACGCGCACGTCGTTTTTGCTGCTCAGAGATATGCACACACCGATAGGGACTGTTGTTGCGTTCAACACAATTTTTGCTGACATGTTATGTACTTCACTCCAACAGCTCCCTGTGCCTGAAGGCAGTTTGCACCATCTGCTCAACTGTTTGTTTTGTTTTTGAGATAATACTGTTTTAACACTGACTCACTTTTAGTGTGGGCCCAAGTGTCGGGGGTGTCGGGAGTACATGCCAGGCACACTCTATTTTAGCGTGTGCTTGGAAGTATGCTGTAATTAAGAGTGTGCTAGGAAGCGTGCTGTAAATGAGAGTGCACTATGAACACACTTCAGTTTGCAGTGGGTGCATCGACATCGGATCATTGAAAGTTTCGTCCACTTTCGATAAACATAAGCGACGTCTCCATAATCGCTGATAAAAAGAAAAAAAAAGGCAATGCAATTGAAACTACATTACAGATAACCTGTCATCAAATTAACTATTTATTCCTTTCAAACTTCAGTTCTTGCTCTATTATTCTATTGAACATTGGTATATTCTTTGAATGTATGAATGAATCCCTCTTTTAATGTGTTTTCTCAACGAGAGAAGTGTACTAAAAATTGTCTTTGAGTCAAAATTTCTTCTTCAGCAAAGATCTTGATGATGTTTTCTGCCAAGCTACCCAGGTATTTCCAGGTGTTACAATTCTCTTCGTAAAGAGTGAGTCCGCTTTAAGATGTGAAAGGCGACGAGTCTTTCTCTTCCACCTCAGCAGCTCCACTGTCGCGCCCGTCAGATTGCCGTTGGCGCCCTTTCCATAAGCTTTTCGCAGCGAAGGAGCGCGCCTTGCTGATGAGAAGTTCCTGGACCAAGTCGAGGCTTGTAGCTCAACCCTCGTTTCGTCACTCTCCAGCCCGTCCAGTGCAAACCTGCGCAGCTGTCAACACATCCCAGTTTTGACAGCGGGTGAAAACTTTGTCTCAAGTTCCTAAAAAAAAATGAGAGTATAAAACTTCTTGAAAGGTTAAGTTTTGGGCTCTTCCGTAATGCGAACCCATCACTCTGCTTTCTGTGATTTCCGTCCATTTCTTTAACCAAATGATTTGCGCAGATGGGCTTTTACATGACGATTGTGTCGTGGGTCGTCTGCGGCCCCATCGAGGTGGCCGCAACTGTGGCGACGGGTGCGAGCCTCACCGAGGCAATGGTCAGTTCAGCCGCACGCTGTTAGTCCACTCCGAAGTGTGTACTCAGCATGCTTCTACAGGATGATGTTTGCAAGTACACACCTTCATATCGACATAACTGCAAACTTGTCGAGTATTCATCTGCAGGTGTAATACTTGCAAGCATGCATCTGTGTGTCCACTTGCAAGTATGCAGCTGCAGGTGCGTACTGAGTATACACTTCAGTCTGTAGGGCAAGTGTGGGGCGTGTAGATACTGGTGTTGGTTGACCTGTCATGTCCTGCTCTTGAATACGTCGACCACTCCGCGTCCTTTGTCCGAATGGGTAGGACACAGCCCGCTGGACGAAACATTGCATGGATTTCTCATGCTTTGCTCCCTTCTGTCCTCAGGACCACTTAAATATTTCTCCAAATTTCCCTTTTCGAAGGAGAACTAAGTGAACACGGGGTCCATTCTTCATTAAAACGCAGTGGCGTCGGAAGTCCCTCCCGCAGGGGGGAGGGGCCTCAAATATGAAGAAAATCCTCTGGGATTTCCCTCCCTTAACCCCCCCCCCCACCAAATTTTACGTGATACAACAGGCCAAATTTTGTTTAAAGAGCACAATTGTGCAAAACTTTTTTTGTAGCTCTTGAAATGTGTGCCTATTTTAATCCAAAAGTACTCCTGCGCATGAGGTACGCACTATGAATATTTGTCTAAGAAATTTAATGTAAAATTTGCAGTTGTTTTCTCTTTAAGTTTTCAATGTTCTTGACATGGTTAATATTCATAGACTGTGAACGACATGTTATTGCATAGAAATTAAGTCACTTTGAAAAGCTACTCAAAATGCGAGCGAAGCAAGCTTCAAGCCAACAACTTTTTTTTAAAATTTTAACTGCGAGATGGAAGCAAGGAGCATGCTTTAAAATATCCATGTTCGTGGCGTCAGGCCCGGACTGGCCCGGGCCGCGGGGGCGCGATCGCGCCCGGGGCCTCGCGCGAAGCGCGGGGCCTTTCGGCCGCGGGCCACGGGGCCTTTCCACCGCGGGGCCTTCTTGGCCGCGGCAAAGTCGCGGTCTTTAACTATTTACGTACTTAAATCAAAGGGGTACCCATTTGAAAATTTCTCAAGATTTCGCAGAATTTTGCGTCAAAATTATGCCGGATTCCGCGAGATTTTGTTGGTATTCCACGAAATTTCTGCCGATTTTACGCATGATTTCGGCAAATCAAGCGCATTTTTTGGCCAACTTTGGTCCCAAAATCGTTGCGGTCAAAGGCAAAATCGTTGTGGTCAACGTCTTCCCGAGACAGGGCATGAAAGAGTGGGGTCTTAAGAATACTAGAACGTCGAGGGAGGCCTTTTACGTCAACTAGATTGGACACAGTGGCCGCCCAAAGTCAGCAAAATCAGCAAATTTCCGAGACTCGACCACTTTTTGACCAACTTTGGTCCCAAAATCGTTGCGGTCAAAGGCAAAATCGTTGTGGTCAACGTCTTCCCGATACAGGGCATGAAAGAGTGGGGTCTTAAGAATACTAGAACGTCGAGGGAGGCCTTTTACGTCAACTAGATTGGACACAGTAGCCGCCCAAAGTCAGCAAATCAGCAAATTTCCGAGACTCGACCACTTTTTGACCAACTTTGGTCCCAAAATCGTTGCGGTCAAAGGCAAAATCGTTGTGGTCAACGTCTTCCCGATACAGGGCATGAAAGAGTAGGGTCATAAGAATACTAGGGCGTCGAGGGAGGCCTTTTACGTCAACTAGATTGGACACAGTGGCCGCTCAAAGTCACCAAACACGGCTTACCCTCCCCTGGCTAGTAAATTTAAAACAATGGACGCATATCGGAAAAGGGGGCCCTTGACGTCACACTGCGACCGGGGCCCTGACTTAGCCAGTCCGGCCCTGCGTGGCGTGGTTGCTGCGACACGTCAAGTCGTCCCCAGGTGCGCCCAATAGCGTTACGAGCGAAAATTAAATATGGCCCTCGCTCCGCTCGGGCCAAAAAATGGGGGGGGGGCTCACCCCCCCCTGGCTGGCGGTGGGGGGGGGGGCCTCTGAGCCCCCTCGTCACCCCACTTCCGACGCCACTGTTAAAACGTAAACATTGAAATCACAGAAACCCTCACCGGAGTGCTCCGTTTTCTTATATTTGTTCAGTTCTCCCTGCAAACGATCTTTAGTTTCTCCTGAAATACGATTAAAATTCAGTAACTCGTCCGCTTCATGGGTCAAATGAACTCAGCAGCCTTTCACTGACGCGCAGGTTGGAATTCAGTGGACGACGGGCACGTATTCAGGTATAATGTGTGGATACCGTATGCTTCGAAGCCGCCTCCTGCTCTCAGCAGTTCTTGCTGACCTCGCCAAATGCACACACTTTCTCGAGAAAAGCGGAGGTGCAGCTATGAAGGTACACTGATAAAACTTTTGTCGCAAATTAGCGACACATTAATTGCTTATTTTTCTAGCGAAAAGATCTGTTGTGGAACGAATAGCTTGTTAAACCATAGATGTACTGGAACTAAAGGATAATTTCACAACGACAAACTTGTAATAACACATGAACAGTCCACCTTCAAAAACAAGTAGTTGACCAACAACAAACTTTGTTAGTCAACGACTTGTAAGTCGAAAAAGATTTTGTAATGTCTGCGACAAGTACTATTGGATACTTTCGTCACTAAATTTATTTTTCATGGTTCTGCTTTAAACAAAATACAATAGTGCATTTTCATTGAGCAGATAATGGCAAAAGATGATGTTTGCACACAAATTGTATCGTTAATGGGGATAACGAGAATTTTGTTCCACTTTGGTTCATGATGACATTCTTTGTTTTGGAACGGATAAATTGTCACTCATCCGATTGTTTCAGTAAATCCGTTTTTTTTTCATTAAATAGTGGATGCATTTAATGTGTAAACATGGTTTTACTGAACTCTTACTTCTGACTGCTATCAGAGTCAATGAGCTGGCCCCTGTTTGACCCGGCACCAAAACTGCCGCCCTCGGAATTTGAACACGCTAAAACTTTTTTCGAAAAGCCCCGCCGAAAATTCGGCGTAAATAGCCTTCTTCGGCGGACAACTGTCGCGCCGCGTCTAAGTTCGGTGGAATCACCCGCCGAACGCCGCCGAGACGTCCGCCGAAGCTCGGCGGGAGTGCCCGGGCCCATGAGTCCCCGTTGTGCTTCGACGACCTTCCGCCGAACGGCTTGCCGTCCATGTTCGACGCTCCTTCGTCAAATCAAATCTAATTGGGATTTTATGTGACAGGGCACGGAATATACTAGCAAGGCAACGTCAAATTTCGCGTAGAATGTTATTTTAGAGTCAGTTGTGTAAATTGTCGAAGGATGTTCCAGTTCCAAGCGGATATGCAACTCAGAGCTAGGTTATGTCAGCCGTGACGTGCGCCTCGCGCCGTGCTTCGACGGCAAACCCCTGTCGCGATTCACGCCGTATTTTCGGCGGTATTCCTTCGATGGTTCGAGAAAAGTTTTAGCGTGAAAAGCTTCCCGGAACTTCTATTCACAGGACAAACTCCAGAGGACTGCGCGAAGAAAACAACGGCTAGGTTACTTTTATCTCGTTTACGGTGTATCCACCGTTTTCGGGGTCATCGCAACATTCGCTACTATGCGACCGCACTGGGCGGAAGCCATGGTGGGCATAGTCACGCAGGTATGGTTACGATTCCAGGTACCGAGGCAGTAGCGCTCTAAAACCGAGAATTCCTACCTTAGAAGACTGCGCAGTAAAGTTCAGTGATCTGGAAACATTACTCCGCAAGTTTACCGTTAAATTAAATTTCGATCAAAATAAGATTACTTTATTTTCAAAATATGTTGCGCAAACTCGCCGACACTCAGGAAAGTTAAGGAAATATTTGCATGATACCTACGAAGAAAATGAAGGCATTGTGGGATTGCTTCGCGATATGAAGAAATGCTTCGTATTGCAGAGGATCTCGCTTTCTTATCAATGCAATTCTTCGTAGATTTTGCAATGCCTACTTATTTTAAGATAACAGCATGGCCTGTCAAAACTATTACGCTATAGGCTTGATCTTAATTTTCTTCATCATGAAGAAGTGTAGCTACAGTTCGTGTTTTTCTTTGCAGAGGTCAAAATAGGGATCCTGGGAACTCAGGAAACACTCGACGAAGAAATGCTTCGTATTATGAAGCAAAACCTTTCGTAATACGAAGCATTTCATTATCATACGAAGCAATTCTACAATGCCCTCATTTTCCTCGTAGCTATAAGGCAAATGTTTCGTATGCTTTTTCTGAGTGAATATTTCGGCCTTTCCTTCAGGGCATTTGGGTTGGAAGTTCAAACCAGTGTTCGGACTTTTCGGCCAAATCGACTGGCTGAAGTGACTGAGCCGCAAGTCGGCAGCGCGCGGCAGCAGCAGCAACTGAAAGAGCTGTGTGGCTGCGGTAGCAGTGGTCACTCCACTGGCGGCGCTGCCTTGACGGTTCAGTCGCTTCGGCCATTGGATTTGGCCGTAAAGTCCAAACACTGCTTCAAACCCTCAAAAATTTGAAGAAAATAAATCGACGCAGGAAACGTACGATGCGGGCTTTGTCAATGCTTAAAGAGACAGTTGTTTCGTCTTTAGGAAGTATTTATTTAGAGAGAGAGAGAGAGAGAGAGAGAGAGAGAGAGAGAGAGAGAGAGAGAGAGAGAGAGAGAGAGAGGTCCCATTAGGCCTCGAAAACGGATTTTTTTTAAAGAGATTCGGTGCCTTTGAACATTAATCATTAGCTTGATGCAGCTTCAGGCTCGGTGTAGGGTTTAAATGTTAAGCGTTTCTCCTGTTCGCTTGCCCGTCCCAGGCGCCAGATGCCCACACCACTGCAAGGGCGGTTTTCGCCTTGCAGCTGGCCATATTCCCCGTGCAGATCGTGGGTCTCTTGTCTGCGTTGTGCGGTTACTACACGACCCTGACGATCTTCTTGGTTTTGTACGGCTCCGCGGCAGAGCTCCACAGCACAATTGCCCAGGGCATCAAGGTATCGGGAAGAGCATTCCATTACTGATACTGTAACAGTATTTCCAGGCAGGATCGACATATCCCGATTGAGCCCCGATGACCTGAGCCCCGATCAGAGACCCGGCTGAGCCCGACTTGAGCCCCGACTTTGCCCCGATGGCCAGAGCCCCGATCTGAGCCCCACCCCAAAAAACTTCCATTTGTGAACTATTTTTTAGTGAAGATTTTGCGGAGCTCAAATGGGGCTCAAAACGGGCTCAGGTCGGGGCTCTGGCCATCGGGGCTCGAGTCGGGGCTTAAGTCGGGCTCGTCCGGGGCTCTGAGTGCAGGCGGGCATGTGTCGGGCCCGAAATGGCATACGATCATGTGTGGTCTAGCCCTTAATGGTAATGGTAATGCTCAGGTCATCGGCCAATGCGTAGGAAATACACGGCAGTCGAATGGGTTGCCTGCCGCTCAGGCGGAGCCGCTCCTCCGCCGGGCAGCTGCAGCAGCGCCCGGTGAAGCGGCGGCCAGGGGTGGGGGGAGTTGGCGAGGAGTAGAGTGGGGTCCTCAGTCGCGAGGGTGGCCCTGGACTTTGGGTTAGTCTTAAGGGTAGTCGTCAATCGTGAAGGGTTCGCGGACTCGCGGAAGTGGCCGTGGGGATGGCCGTGGACCCGCTTAGGTAGTCCCGAAGGACTCCAAGAGAGAAGAACTGGCTGTGATCTTCCCCCCATCACGTCTCCCCCACCCGCCTAGCCGCCTCTGCCGTGTATTTACTGAAACGCCCGGTACCGTAGAGCGGGGTATTTCGGCACATGCGGGTGAACAAGCTAATTTAAAGCTGATTCACATCCAAGGGTCATTCTACAGAAACGTTACAATTTCGCAGTTAGAACCGTGAAAAAATAAAAGTTGTCCGATTTCATTCATATTGGGCTTGTTTTTCTTGTTTCGGCATGCAGAATGCGAAACGATATCAAGCGTCACACTTTTCGAGAAAAAAAATTTTCTCCACTGAAATCATAGGCGAAATGTCTACGGAGTTTACATAAATTGACGCCTACGGAGTTTACATTTTGAAGCAAATACCTGGATTGCAGCCGTATGAGTTGGAACAGTAGAACGCGCATACACAGCTGACTAAAGGACCACCAAAGCATTGTTTTTATCCACAATTCGAAAGTTTGACGCACAGGGGATCCGTGGCAAATCGGGTACGGAGTTTACATACAAAAAAAATACGCGACCCCCTTTTTGAAATTTGGGTACCAATTAGATGCTAGCCATTGGACTCACATCCTTCAAACTTGGTGGCTAGATGTGTTTTTTCATCCGGAATCCATTGCAGTCTTCAGATTGAGGCTGCGACGTCCCGTTTGTCTCCTGTAGTGCCAAACTCGTTACAGTGCACATGTGGATTTTAGGGAAGTAAAAACTTCGGGACAAAAGTTAATCCTGTGCAGGCACAAAGCTTCAAACTTTTTACTAAAGTCAGTGGGATTAAGTTAAAGTATAAAAGTGCCTTAGCAAATAGAGCCGTCGGGAATGATTGTCCTGCGTCTCGTTTAGACATACGAGAGGCGCAAACTTAGTGAACTACGCATCGGGACAGCCACGGAGTTTACATTTTGCACCTTCCGGAGGCCACAGCCATCTGAAAACCTCAGAAACTTTCAAACCCAATAGTGGATCATTTTGAAGCACAAAAAGCACCATCTCACCGCGTAAACCGCGTCTTTCTAGGACGAACCGTTTCGTCACAAAGGGGCAGGGACATCAAATTGTAACATTTCTGTAGAATGACCCCCAAACGAACGTGACACAACGCTCAAAGGCACGTCACATTTTGTCACATCCCTTTCAACGTGATGTCACGTTCCTGATATGAGAGTGATGCCCGAATTCCTGAACAGGGCGATGAGGTGAGCTACATGCGAATTGATCCAACCTTACAAACTAGCTTGTAGTGATTAGGTATTCTGAGCACCTTACATATGCCCAAAACACTCCACTCTAATTACGAAGTATTTTCTTTGTAAGCTTATGTATGTAAAAAATACTTTGTTACGACAAACTACTTTTCTTTGTAAGGCTCAAACAAGTTTGTGAGGTTTTCTCAGTGTCTAAGATTTGAACCGTGCACCATGTGTTCGAGAGAATTCGCCCGTAAGAAGCGTCTACCTCCAGATTGAACCTTATAAGAATCAAACATGGCCACAATCACCCTTGAGGTGCGTGCCCCCCACAGGAGGGTCCCTGCACCGGTCGCTGGGCCACTCTGCAGTCGGACCTCATAGCGGTGAGTGCTGCGAAGCGGGAGGCCGTGGCCGACCTATTGCCCCATGTGCTGATGGCGGGCGCCGTCATGCCGCTGTTCTGCACTGTGGACGTGAGTGCCAGCACCTGCACTGCGATAACTACATTCAATACCAATTCCGAGAAAATCATGGCGAGGGGTCCTATGAACAAACATCGATGCACAGTGGGCCAGAAGACCGGTGGAGGCGGCAAAAATTCTAGACGCGTTTTGAGCTCCAGAGTCGCCAAGTGGGACTCGAACCGAACGTGTGACCGACCCCATCAATAGATTGCTCTCCGAACGAGGAATCCATTGATGGGGTCACACGTTCGATTTGGGTCTTGTTTAGTGACTCTGAAGCTCTAAACGCGTCTAGAATTTTTGCCGCCTCCAGCGGCCTTCTGGCCCACTGTGTGATGTCTTTTGGGTCGCTCGATCAAAGACCGATATCCTTCAGGTCGTTCGAACAAGGACCTATCTCCATTTCGACCGTTTCTGCATTCGCCGCTATCTTGTGGTTCTCGCAACAGACATCCAACTCAACCAAGAGTTTGCAGGTTTTGTTTTAAATATAGTAGAGAATGATCATCTAAAACTCGTTTGTGAGTAATATCAAACCGTAGAGATCTACAGGGTGAGTTTTCTCAATGTGTCAATAATTTGTAGGTAGTTTGGGCACCCCAAGGGGATCATTTTCTACCAATGAACTAGTGGGCGCAAACGTCTAGGTACGGAGATAATTGGTGTTTTGTAATTAGCCTTCGCGCCTGCGAGGTAGGCACCCGCTGCCACTGATGGGCGCAGGACCTCACGTGGGGGTGTCGCGGGTCTAGGAGGGGTGCTTCGAGTCTCGAAGGGGTGCGGCGGACCTTTCAAATGTCTTTTGGGAGGGGTTGCCGCGGGTCTCAAGGGGCTGTCATGGTGGCCCCCGTTACAGTGGATCTCACGGCTGTCTTTGCGAGGGTGGCGGGATTCCACGGATACTTCCGCGAGGTAAGTGGCACTCCCGCGAGTACTGCTAGTCCCGCGACACCCCCTCGACAGGTCCTGCCACCCTCAGTGGCACCGGGTGCCTACCTTGTAGGCGCAAAATCCAAGTTCAAAACACCAATTATCTCCGTATCTAGACGTTTGCGCCCACTAGTTCATTGGTGAAAAATGGTCCCCTAGGGATGCCCAAACTGCCTGCAAATTATTGACACATTGAGAAAACTCACCCTGTAGTTTGCTTGCAACAACCCTTGCAAAATGGAAAATATGTGGGCACTATATGGACAAAATATATGGCCCAACATGTATTGACGACATATGTGGAAAAGATAATTTAGCAAGATACTTTTCCGATATAAAAAATATGTGGCAAATATATAAATTTCATACATTGCTCTATATGTAGGCAATATATAGTGCGAATACACTATGGAGTCTGACGACTCAGAGACTTCCTTTACTATTATCAAAGAATGTAGCCTCGCCTTGCGAGAACACTCAATCGTGATCATGCCGTGGTCGCCTTGACAAACTTTTCGCGCTACACTCAAAAAAGACGTTTAAAATTTCCTAACTGTTGCAGTTAACTTGTTAAACAGGATTTCTCAAAATTTCTTGGAGACTTAAACGCATGGAAAAGAACCTTGCCCCTGCTCAATATATGGTGTCAATATATTCTACAACATAAAATCATGTTGAGAAATATAGCCGCCTTTTAACATCGAGTGCCAAGATATTAAGAAAAGTTACTTGAAAAGTCTGCCCTCCTCACCCTGCCCCATCCCACGACGGGCACCGTGTCAGATATTGAAACATACATTTCGCGAAGATAATATTATATGGGGAAATATATGCATAATATATTAATGGGCACCAAGATATACCCCCATATATAAACCACGTATTGCGCAAGATAATTTGCAATATATTGAGCAAGATACAATTATATTGGCAATGCATGAAACATATATGGAGTCATATATTGACACATATTTTCCATATATTTTCCTTTTTGCAAGGGAAATTAGGCAAGCCGTTTTGAATGCCAAAATTTGGCAACCTTTGGTTGGAAATCTCCATAAGCTTGCCAAATTTTGGCAAGCTGGGGGTTATTTCCAGACCAAGCCTGCCAAATTTTGGCATTCAAAACGGCTTGCCAAATTTGTGGCAAGCAAACCTACCCCTGGCTTTGCATTGATTGTTCTGGGACTTCAAAATAAACGCGTTGAAAGGTTAGGAAATGGAGATCGGTCTTTGTTCGAGCGACTTAAACGACATCGGTCTTAGTTTATAGGACCCATCGATGGGAAGTATACCTACCACAGGGTGGCAACGCTCTTTATTTGCCTTGACACTACGTTCGACCCCTCCTCCTACGTCAGTTTCTCTGCCGATATCCAAAATACTCAAATTATGCATAAAGCTGTTTTATTTTGATAGTATATGAATTGAGGAAGTGCTAGCATCAGGTTTCATCTCAAAGGCTTAATACGTGCCGAGGTAAATGTATTTACAAAATAAGCAGACAATTGTCTTGTGGCTTTTATTTCCATCCAGCCATCTTTGACTTGTCTTAGCGATGGGATGAATTGATCTGAAAATTGAATCACGTCTGATTATTGCCTAAACGACTTTTTAACTTGATGATGCGCACAAGTTTCACTCGATTTCTTTGCAGGTCACGGAGGTAATACTTTTGAAACGTGTAATGATTTCGGGGGCAGACCATAAGGCGTTAATGCAAGTGAAGAGCAAGACCACCCCTTAAGCTAGCATACTGTTGAACAGGATCCCCACACTCAGGAAACCTTACCAACTATTTTATGTCCCAAAAAAGGAAACTTGCCATTAAAAATATTTTGAGAAAACTTGAAAGCGTCTGTAAATATCATGTCCATTGGTTTGTGTAGCTGCTGATTAACGGCAGCGAGGCGGGGTTCTTCGCTATCAACACGGCTCCGCTGGTCCTTACTATTTTGGTGGCGACGTGCGAAGTGGGCGAGTCAGTCACGGCTGCTCTGGACGTATGACAAGTGTTCCTGCACGTTTATTTGGGTCATTCTACAGAAATGTTACAATTTGATGTCCCTGCCCTTTTGTGACGAAACGGTTCCTCCTAGAAAGACGCGGTTTGCGCAGTGAGATGGTGATTTTTGTGCTTCAAAATGATCCACTATTGGGTTTGAAAGTTTCTGAGGTTTTCAGATGGCTGAGGCCTCCGAAAGGTGCAAAATGTAAACTCCGTGGCTGTCCTGATGCGTAGTTCACTAAGTTTGCGCCTCTCGTACGTCCAAACGAGACGCAGGACAATCATTCCCGACGGCTCTATTTGCTAAGGCACTTTCATACTTTAACTTAACCCCCCTGACTTTACTAAAAAGTTTGAAGCTTTCTGCCTGCACAGAATTAACTTTTGTCCCGAAGTTTTTACTTCCCTAAAATCAACATGTGCAGTGTAACGAGTTTGGCGCTATAGCAGACAAACGGAACGTCGCAGCCTTAATCTGAAGACTGCGATGGATTCCGGATGAAAAAACACTTAGCCACCAAGTTTGAAGAATGTGATTCCAATGGCCAGCACCTGATCGGTACCCAAATTTCAAAAAGAGGGTTGCGTATTTTTTTTGTATGTAAACTCCGTACCCGATTTGCCACGGACCCCCTGGGAGTCAAACTTTCGAAATGTGGATAAAAACAATGCTTTGGTGGTCCTTTAGTCAGCTGTGTATGCGCGTTCTACTGTTCCAACTCAAACGGCTGCAATCCAGGTATTTGCTTCAAAATGTAAACTCCGTAGGCGTCAATTAATGTAAACTCCGTAGACATTTCCCCTATGATTTCTGGGGAAAAAATTTTTTTTCTCGCAAAGTGTGACGCTTGATATTGTTTCACATTATGCATGCCGAAACAAGAAAAACAAGCCCAATATGAATGAAATCGGACAACTTTTAATTTTTCACAGTTCTAAACGCGAAATTGTAACATTTCTGTAGAGTGACCCATTTGCTTCTGTTGGCTGCGCTTGATAGTCAAAGCTAGCTGACATAATTGGCTATAAATCCTCTATACGCCCAAAAATTTGATGGGACTTTTCTGGTTCATTTAGGAATAAAAAACCTAACGATCAAATTGTAACTTCAGTATTTTTGATAGTACAGACGTTAACTGCGAGAAAAAGTGTGAATAGTAAAACAAAAGTACAACGAAAGCTGTACATTGGAAGTACAACAGGTATTGTATAAAGTACGAGAATTGTACAAACCACAACGAGGCCTGGACTTCACAGCACTCGTCATGCCGGTCCCATTACACTTTGTGCAACAATTGTTGTACTTTGACGTAAAGTAGTACTTTAAAAGTAAATTCCTGGTGAAAAAATAATTCCCAGAAATTTGTGTACATTTGTGGTTTTTTTCTTGCAGTGTTGTTAAACGAATATTTAATTTATTGTTAATCTCTAGTAATTTTTGACAGGATACTCACTCAAGCATCTCCTGTGTAGGTTTCTCGCCGTCATTTTATTTGTAACCTTTCAGAAGTTGCATTGTATCCAATGTGCCGGCCATTGCAGGGCTTCGCGACGAAGGCCTACTCCGGGCCGTGGCTGGACGAGGGCGCGGCGGAGCGCCGCGTCCGCCTCCAGATGATGCAGGCCTCCACGGTGCGCACCATCCAGTTCCACGGCCGCGGGGTGGGAGTGTTCAACCGGCGCGCCTGCAACAACGCACTCCGGCTCTGGTTCCGCTTCCTGCAGGGCGTCCTCAACCTCAACGCCCGAAGTTGAAATTGAAACAATTGGTCGTCGATTGGCTGCGTCATGAAAAGTAAATGTGATACTTGACAAAAACACGCAACTTGAGTATCCAATTATTTATATCCCAAACAGCAGGTCCACTGAAAAGTCAAAGGAAGGAATTCATTCCATCCTAGGGGAAAGAAAAAAAGTCTCGCCAATTTTTGGCGAGAAACAAAAGTCTCGCCATTTTTTTGGCGAGAAACAAAAGTCTCACCATTTCTTGGCGAGAAACAAATGTCTCGCCAAAATATGTCAATAATTGCAGCCCCACTCTATTTGATACTGGGAAATATATCCCAGTCAAGATCACTCCGGTAAACACATCACTAACTGCAGTCTTTCAATGACTCAAGTCGAAAATAATACAGGAAGCTATCACTTTCAGTTATGAAAATATTAATGTAAGGTTATATGATGTGAATTTGGTTTGCGTCAGCAAAGCGTTGCCCAACTGTTTACTCTTTTTGTCATCGTTTAAAAAGACATTGGTCCAGTGAGTCAGATCCTAAAAGGTCTCTTTCAGTGTCCATGTAGTTAAAGATAATGTCTTTAATAAGAGGCATAAACAAAGCGACATCCATGATGACACAAGTTCTTACTCACTCCTTTGACTTATTCCAATCCCCAGCTACACTGTAAAAAGTTTTTGTAGTCAAATTCCTATACATGTATCTGAAACAATTCACATATACATGTATAGGAGTATTACCATACACTGGTAAGGCAATTTTCCTATACATTGGTATGGTATTATGACTAAGGTAAAAAATCAATTGTGGGTCACGAATCAATTGTGGGTCATTTTTTTCGACGGGTCACCGCAGACCCTGTGGATATTGAATCGATTTGAATTTCGCGGTAGACCTTCCTCCAACCTTTCTTTGTCTCCCCAAATAGCGTGTATGTCCGAGCGACGACTGTAACAGCTCCTATCAGGCTTCAAAGGAAGGCCCTTCAAAAAGTCGAGAAAAAAGCGCCCATCCAACGAGGCGTAAAATCGAGTGTTTTTCAAATTGCCACCGTGAAGCTATTACGAGATAAAACGGGACGCCCTTGCTGATTTAGGTTCATAATAGGTCAGGGAACATAAATTTACCATAGTACAGCCGACATCATTCGATGCCATGGTGCGCGGGTGATGGCAAAGGAGGGTTCGCTACCATGTCTGACCCATTATTTTAGACGAATTTTACGGTAGTTTTTCTAATAATTTTTGTTTTCAGCGCTTCTGAATTACTGATGTATCGCAGTAAATTCCATTTTTCTGCTCTGTCACATTTAGTACTACAATACGAAGGTTGTTAAGCTTACGCTACAGCCCCGAATGACAACGCTAACACTTACTTCCAGTCCGCCATAAGGCTTTTTTTGTTGGAGAAGGGGGGGGGGCATTGCGGGGCTTACATCGCGCCCGGAAGGGGACCGCTCTCTAACTGCAGAGGCTAGGCACCCGAGGCCAGTCCGGCCCTGTAGGAGTCAAATCAATCCCTACAGACTAAATATTCTGACTGAAATAGATTATAAACTGTAGCAATACCTCACGATGACAGGGTGTGGTGTTGGATTGTCTACCACACCGGCGGCCCTAGAATATGTACTATAAAAGTTTCGTCTCTTCCAGGACGTTTAACTCACATCGGTCTCACAGTGAAATAGGCCTGTTTACATATTTTTCCTCTTTGAGTGAAAAACGTGCCTGCTTGGTTTATTGAGAACCAGGGACCTTTTATTAATGAAAATAAGAAAAAATCTTGCAAAAATGGTCAATTTACGAGCAAAAAGACGAAATGGCCCACAATTGATATGACCCAGAATTGATTCATTGTGCTACAGATCCTGCAGTTTTCACGATTCCGAAAAAAAATATTCAAAAGTGAATTCCTCTCGCATTTAAGCAAATCATATCCAAATTTGAGCTTTCTACAATGCTGACCCACAAATGGTTCCAAAAATCAATTGTGGGCCAAAACAGACTATTTTTAAAACAGCCACAGCTTAGTAAATAAGGATGATAGATGGGGCTACTATGCTGCAAAACTTAGTCCAAGGACCACAGTTTAAGACCACACATGCACTTTTGTCACCAGGTCATAATAAAATGCCTTAATTTGGAATTTTCAAAAATGTGACCCACAATTGATTTTTTACCTTATACGTGTATAGGCATTATCCTATTTCATGTAAAGGATTTTCCCTATACATTGGTATAGCAAAATTGCAATACATGTATAGGTAATCGCCACCCAATGTATAGGATTTTTCCCATGTACCTGTATAGCTGTTTAGCCATACGCGTGCAAGCATTTTCCCATCCAATGCATAGGATTCTGCCCATGCACTAGTATAGCTGTGTAGCCATACGTGTACATTCATTTTCCTATCTGGTGTATTTGATTTTTACCACACTGGTATTGCCTTTTAGCTCAACGGGGAAAGGTATTCCCTCATATCAGTACAGCTTTTTAGCTATTTGCGCACAGGTGTTCCACCATCTGGTGCACAGGTTTTTCCTCTGAGTACGGTACAGGTTTGTGCCCACACATGTGCAGGTGTTTCTCTATTAAACAAGTATGCTTCCTTAACATGTGCAGCATAGTGGCAGTACGAAAGGGTACAAAAACAATAGAAACAATTTGAATTAATAGTATAATGTATTATAAATAAAAATGAAATGTAACATTATGGTAACATACATGGTAACATAAACGGATGATACCATGAGCATGATGATGTAATCTTGAGGTGATCTTCAGTGAACTGTTGGAACCCATAGAATGAGAATGCAGTCACGAACCTCCTTAGGACAATCTTCATTGTAATTAACAGTTACAAGAGGAAAATTACGATGCCTTGGAAATCGGGTAACAATACCACTCAAACTGCAAAGAAAGAAAGAAAGGCTAAGTATTGGTAATCCACATTTTCAAAACATAAAGCAAGATGGAGAGCTTCTACTTACCAA